ACCAGGCACCTCGGTGTCCACCCCCTGTCTTACCTCATTGCAGTGACTGGTATGTCCCTCCCTCCCCAGACGCCTGTATCTGTTCTCGTCACTTACAGATATTTTCTCCCATCCTGTAGGCTGTCTTTTCATTCTGTTGTTGGTTTCCTTTGTTGTGCAAAAGCTTATCAGTTTGATTAGGTCCTGTTTGTTGATTTTCGCTTTAATTTCTGTTGCCTTGGAAGACTGCTCTAGGAGAACATTGCTACAATTTGTGTCAGAGAATATTTTGCCTGTGTTTTCTTCTAGGGCATTTATGGTGTCCTGTCCTGTGTTTAAGTCTTTAAGCCATTTTGAGTTTATTTATGTCTATGATGAGAGGGAGTGTTCTAACTTCATTGGTTTACCCGCTGCTTTCCAGCTTTCCCAACACTTGCCAAAGAGACTGTCTTTTCTCCATTGTATATTCTTGCCTCCTTTGTTGAAGATTACCAGCCATAGGTATGTGGGTTCATTTCTGGGCTCTCTGTTCTGTTCCATTGGTGCATATGTCTGTTTTTGTACCAATGCCATGCTGTTTTGATGACTGTAGCTCTGTAGTATTGTCTGAAGTCTGGGAGGGTTATTCCTCAAGCTTCATTCTTTTTCTTCAGGACTGCTTTGGCAATTCTGGGTCTTTTGTGATTCCGTATAAATTTTAGGATGATTTATTCTAGTTTGTTCTCCTCAGAGGTCTGCTCCTTGATGCCTGAACCAGGGTAGGGGGCCAATAAATGTTTGATGAATGGGCTTTTAGGGAAGAATAAAAATCCTAAGTTCCAGAATAAATGTTCTGTTATTTAGGGTGCTGTTTGAGTGAAAAAAAATAGTTTTAAGGTCAAGGGATACCTTTTATCTGATAGGCTAATAATTTCCTTGACATTGCACTGCCTGGTTCACATTTTGAACTTCTTAATGTCTTCATCCTCTTTTCTTGCTGAAACTTTTTTTCCACATGGGTCATAGGAGAGGGACTGATGTAATTACAAAAACAGAAACATAGTCGGATATTGTGATATGCTGACATTTGTGCCAAGTATAGAGAAAAGAGAGATGCAAACTGCCCCTCCCCCAGGAGTCCAGAGGGCCAAGTCCTACCCATGCCCATGAGTAACAGGGGTGAGATATCTTAAATGCAGAAGTAGACATGTTTAAAGGTGGTTCTGATGCAAGGGGGAGAGCTTCTATCTGCCTGGGAAGTCAGGGAAATAGCACCAAGCATGTGGGACTTCTAATTATGGGCACTGAAGTATGAGTAGGAGTTCACCGGGTAGCAAGGAGTGGAGTGGGGCCAGAATGGAAGAGCCCTCTGGGCAGAAGGAGCTTTGTGTGTAAAGGCAGGGGGCCAGGAAGCAATGCATCTATGGTTTTGCTGCTGTGCATATCCTAAATGTGAGGAGGGAGGCTGAAAAATTGAGCCAGGGCCTGATGATAACTGGCTTATGTAGCTTCCCATGGAGTAGATTTCTTTTTCTGTAGGTGATGAGTAATCACTGAGAAGTACTTAGTGAGGGCAATAATGTGATTGATTTGCCTGTTATGGGAGGAGGACCACTCTTTTGTTCCATGGAGGATGAATTGTGGGGTCTGTGGAGCTGGGTAGGAATGGAGGCTGCTATGAAGCTGTTAACAATAGTCCCAGAGGGAAACAGTGGATGCCTTACCCAGTAGGCTGCAGTGAAAGGGAGGGACAGATTGGAGATGTATTGAAAGATGTATCAATTACACATGAACATCAGCTGACTGTGTGGGTGGTGGAGTGGAGATGGCTCAGGACTGTCTGGCTCAGAGCACTGGATACCAGTCACCCAGTGGGGGCCACCTTGAACCCTCCCATACCAAAGACTTCAACAAAAAGGGCCCAGGGTACAGAAGAGTACCCTCACAGCAACCCTTGAGTATGCATTATTTTCCCTTTCTAAACAAAAGGAAACTTACCTAGCACTCAGAGATGTTAAGTCACTTAGCCAAGGCCACACAGCTCATCCCTGGCAAGACCAGGATTTGAATCCAGGTCTGCCCAGCTCGAGGCTCATGCTGTGAGGAGGTGCTGCACCTGTGGGAAGTGCCCTGAGTGGCAGAGCGCTGGCTGGGGAGGAGCCTCTGGCCAGGCTGGGTGGGCACCGAAGGAGAGGGGAGGGACCCCGTGGCTTTGCAGGGTAACTGCGGGAAGTGGACCTTTGTATTTCTAAAAGATATCAGCAACTTCAGCTTTATTATAGGCAGGGCAGAGGGAACCAGTGAAAAGAGAAGGTGTCTGTCCTCCATCTAGGGGATGTCTGTGGACTAAGAGGAGGGCTTTGGGGATTACAGGAGAGGGTTGGCCTGAGGAAAGAGGAAGCACCCCTCAACTTGGCCTTTGCTGAAGGAAACTCCAAAGGGAAGAGAAGAGGGAGGAGGAGAATGCTTTTATCATCACCGTGCTGAAACTTGTTGGCAAAGCTGATGGGGAGGATGTCAGCACAGAGTCAGGAAAATAATGGTGCAGCCGCCATGTCTTAAGGACCTGGGAGAGTCCCTGCACAGTGCTCACTCTGGGATGCTGATCTGAGAGGCTTGGAGGGCGGGTCTCCCAGAGGCTCACCTCCTGACTGTCTAGCTGCTGATGCCTCGTGAGGCTGACTCCCTTCAGTTCCCCTCCAGGTGCTGCTCTCCTGGGTCCTGGACCTTCACTGGGGCAGAGAGAAAAGACATGTACTTTATGGACTCGTGGACATAGAAAAAAATAAGCTGTGCTTACCAGAGTGGGGAAAGGGTTGGGGATGGATAGATAAGGAGTTGAAGATTAATAGAAACACACTGCCGTGTATAAAGTAGGTGAACAACAAGGTCCTACTGTATAGCACAGGGATCTATATTCAATCCCCTGTAATGAACTGTAATGGAAAAGAATGTGAAAAAAATATGTATGTATAACTGAATCTCTTTGCTATATACCTGAAACTAACATTGTCAATAGACTACACTTCAATAACAAATAATAATTTTTAAAAAAAGTAATGCATTTTAATTGCTAGAAAGCGGAGGTGTGAGAAAATAAAATCCCTCGTTTCACTGAGTGTAACATTTGTTTCTCCAGCATATCTTAGCAGTTACAAATATAACATGGGCACACTTAACTCATTCACTTGTAGTTTTTTTAAATTAATTAATTAATTAATATTTTCAAATTGAAGTACAATTGATTCACAATGTTGTGTTAGTTTCTAACGTACAGCCAGGTGATTCAGTTTTACCTACGTACAGATATATTCTTTTTCATATTCTTTCCCATTGTGGTTTATTATAAGATATTGAATATAGTTCCCTGTGCTGAACAGTAGGACCTTCTTGTGTATCTATTTTATATACAGTAGTTTGTATCTGCTCATCCCAAACTCCTGATTTATCCCTTCCCCACCCCATTTCCCCTTTGGTAAGCATAAGTTGGTTTTCC